ATACACATGCGCAGTAAATTTTTGCAAAGAAAGTTAACAAAGAACAAATGGATGAAGCACCCTCAATCATGATGTTATTAGTTTGTACTTGTCTCTGAAAGAGTGTCCCTTACTTTTTTTTCTATGCATGTTCGCCGGGTTTTTTTCCTAGGTGGGTGGTCGGATCGGAACAAAGCCTTTCGCATCTTGTAAAGTCTGACTCCCCATTGGTACCATTACCAAAAATTTGTTCATTTTTTAGTTGCAAAGGATTATTGTTGCAAAAAAAATTGAAAAACGAATATCCATGTTGTCTTTTACTTAATTATGTTCATGGCATTTACGCAAGACAAAAAAAGCCCGGAAGAACTGTCTCACAGTATCCTATACAATTTTTCCCATTCCACTAAAAAGCGTGAAATAGAATAATTTTAAGAAAAAAAATACGCTGACTTCGAAATGCACTAAAAAGTATAAAATAATTTCTATTTCCTAATGAAGTAATTATATGAATGAAATATAATTATGTAATTGTATGATTGAATGAAATAGAAATTATTTTATACTTTTTAGTGCAAGTCGGCGTATTTTTTTTCTTAAAATTATTTTATGTATTGTGTCCTTAAATAGGTTAATTTCCAATACGCCATACCACAATCAACTGGTTATTAGCAGCAACGTTTACTGAGGTATTTTTAATTTTGCGCCGCCTCCGAAAAGGTTGTAATGTATTTAATATACTACCTAACGAGTAAATAGGTTTCATTCATATCTGTGACGTAATTGTATGATTGAATGAAATAGAAATTATTTTATACTTTTTAGTGCATTTCGAAGTCGGTGTATTTTTTTTCTTAAAATTATTTTATCAAGTGAGGCAAGTCCATTTTGATATACTAAAACTTTCATCGTTTAGCCAGGATGTTAAATATTATTGAATAATAAATATACGTTATTTATTATAACAAAATACAACACATTTATCTGTTAGTGTTGAAAAACAGGTTTACACTCGTTGAAAAACAGGTTCACACTCCTATAACATTCCTTTTATTATATGAAATAACTTCATTATGCAAAATTAAATGAAATAACCCCATTCACACTTCTTCTATATTACAATATAACGAAAATAGTTCTTAACATGAAATTCTTTATTAGTAAAATTTGAATTTGAATTTGAATTTATATTATACCTGTAGCTATCCTTGCCTTAACTTGACTCCAGTAGTGTACATTTGGTCACACCGCAGTAGCAGAGTATTTTTCGAAAATAAACAATATTCTTCACAAAATTATGTTTTACAACATCTAGTATTATTCTTGCGGATTGGATGTAGACTCTCTGTGTTAAATCGATAAAAATGAATTCCTCAGCAGACCATTGGTTCTTGACCCAATTTCTCG